AGAAAGAGAGTCTTTAAATGTACTGGAACTTTGAATTTCTTTGGTTTCTTTGTAAGCAGACTCCATCGCTAATGTTACTTTAACACATTCGGCAAAAGTATGGGCTCTTTCACTAATTTTTGAAATTGGCATATTTGGATAAAGCAACTAAAAACAGAAAAAAATTTCCAATCGTTTGATAAAGATTTCCCAAGTTTCGTTTTCCTCATTGAAAGATTCCAATGATATGTTTTCTCCTCGTATAGAATTATCATTTTTTTGGGGTTGTAATAATTTCGCAAGGGTTTCCATCAAAGTATCAAATTGTGTATTATCCATCTGCCCTGTGGTTCGGTCGATTACCTCGTCGCCAAATGTTATATTTGGAAGTACTTTAGTGTGAATACTATTTATTAAATGTAACTATAATGACAAAATATATTGACAATGCTTTTTAACTGGTAATCTAACAATGTGAGCACCAACTTGTATATCGGTCCATACGGTCCATATACACAACACCTTCCTCCTTCCTCAAGAAGAATTTTAGAACTTTTTTTTTTCATATTATTGTAACTTTAATTAACCTGTTTCCACCCTGCAACTTACGTGTTTCTGTTGGGAAATGGACTAAGAAATAAAAGAACTTGTTAATTATCGATATTCAATATATTTATTATATCGAACACAGAGTGGAAAGCAGAGCGTGTGAAATAACTATACGAACTGACTCAACATCAAGACAAATAATTACAAACCCTTTCTTCTTCTTCTTCTTCTTTAATAATGGCACTGCTCCTTTACGGGCAACTTGCCAGCTCATTCGTGGCAGGGTGACTTTGTCTGGCTCTCAGCCATATCAAACCCCGCGAATTGTTTGTAGAGTTCTGCTGTGGAGTAAGAGAACCGCCACCGGGGTTGGTTACCCGATCTTGGTTGATATGAGTATTGAATTGCTGTGTATTACTAATTTTAAGGGGTGAGGTGTTAACAAACAATACAACATAGGATACATACAATTGACACGGACAGCACAATCGATATTGGCTTGCTGAAAAAAGAAAGAAGACACTAGTTTCATAACTTTATTTTATTGTAGACAAGGAATTTCATAAGTATTCTGATTCTTGTTTCTGAGAGTTTTGATAAAATAAGAGACATATTTAAAGGAGGTTGAAGACCCGTTAAAACTATCTGCTGATAAATATCAAAATTGGGAATGAAATTGATTGGACACTCTAGGAAAATATGATCCAACGACTCTTCTCGACCGCATTCACAGTTCGGCTCCTCTTTGATGTTAATTTTATAGAGGTGAGATGATGTCAAACAATGACCCGTGCGCATTCTTATCATCGTTGTAATATATTTACGATTTACAAACTCGAAAGCCGTGAACCATTTCTTTTTGGGGAAGGAAGACACTATTCTTGAATAAAAAATGCCTTTAAATTTCAGTGAAGCCTGCCATAGCACATTGTGCTCCTCAATAATTTTCTCCTTTGCAATGCTTACTACCTCTGATCTGTCTAGGTCCATTTTCAATGGGACATTTAAAGCTGTGCCTATTTTGGCCAATTTGTCCACAGTCTCGTTACCCTCAATCTGTGAATGTCCCGGAATCCAGGCCACAGATATATCTGAGCCATTGTCATTGGCTATCAGAATTAGTCTTTTTGTTTTTAAAGACAAGTTATCCCTGCATGGGTCTAAGTCATTCTTGTCAATTTTCCCTATGGCTCCTTGGGAGTCTGAGAAGATGATAACATTTTTGATGCCCTTTTTCAAAACCACCTTCAATGCCTCATATATAGCAGTCACCTCCGCAGTACAAATACAAAGATTATTCGGGAGTCGGCATGAAAAATTATAATCAATTTGGGGAATGTGTATCCCAAATCCAACCCTAGAGTTATTTTTTGAAGCGTCTGTGTATACAAAGGTATGAGTATTTTTAAAAGCAGAGGTAGAAGCTAGGAAATTTTTGTTTTGAGAAATTTCACTTTTTTTTAGATTTAGGTCAATTATTTTTATCGGGTTTATCAAAAAGTCAGTCTTTATTTCAAATATGGGGTAATGATTTGATCTATATATTGTTTTAAAATAAGGAAGGAGGTAATTATATGCTTGTATTAGGTATGGTGATTCTTTATTTTTCCAGAAATTCGCATTTCTGGCACACAAGTTTCTTAGTTGTTGAATTGTACGAATTAAAGGGTGATCATTTATAACTATGATTTTGCTCAAAAATTTAACAGCAAGGATTTTTCTGCGGTGTTCTAAATTTATTTCTGCAGCTTCCGATAGAAGTGCGTTTGTGGGAGTGGATCGCATGCAACCCAAAGCTATTCTCAAACTTTGCATTTGAGCTGTATCCAATTTTTTAAGAAAGGCAATACTACAGGGTTTAATGAAAATTGAGGCATAATCCAAATGAGATTTAATAAGACCATTATGGACCATTAAAAGAGTTTTGGGGTCTGCTCCCCATCATACTCTGCAGAATGCTTTCATTATATTAATTCCTTTTTGGGCTTTTGCGATCAAATACTCTATGTATTTATTCCATTTTAAATTTTTTTGAAAAATAGTTCCCAAGTACTTGGTTTCATTTTTGAAGTTTAAATTCACATTGTTTATTATTATTGTGGGAAGATTTATTAATCTTGGGTTTTTGGTAAAATACATAGGTTCACACTTTGTTGTTGAGAGATTTAAATTATGATCCTTAAGCCATTCAGATAAAACATTTAAAGTACCATTAATGACCTCCGCCATTTCAAACGGATCCTTACCCTTAATATACACCACTAAGTCGTCAGCATAACCGATGATTTTAACTCTAGGAGGAGGTAAAAAGAAAATATCCCTAATGTAAACATTAAAGAGTAGGGTACTCAAGGGTGATCCCTGTGGAATACCTGAATTGGCCAATACGGTGCCCAAATATTCACCATTCCTATTCTTTGAATAAAGAATTCGTTCTGATAAAATTTTTAAAATTACATTTAATAATTCAATTGGGATCTGTATATTCACTAATTTATTGTAAAGTTTATATATATCTACATGGTCATAGGCTGCCTTAATATCAAGGAATACAGCTAGGATGGAAAGATTTTCTCCAAAAGCCAAATTGATTTCTGTTGTTAAAAACGCTTGAGCATTTTGTGTACCTTGCGCCTTCCTAAAACCCGTTTGTGTCCAAGGAAAGTATAACTTATTTTCCAAGCACCATTCGATTCTATTTTTTACCATAATCTCAAGGGTCTTCAACAAGCAAGAAGAAAGAACAATTGGGCGATAGCTGTCCATCAATATAGGGTCTTTGTCTGGTTTCAAGAGAAAAAATATGTTGTATTGTTTCCAAGTTTGTGGGATATTTCCACCCAATAAAATTTGATTATATATTTCAACTAGTGTCAGTTGGAGTCTAAGTGGGATATTTTTTAACATTAGGTATGAAACTTCGTCCATACCTGTCGCTGAATGTTTTTTATTTTTTAAGGAAACTTTTAGTTCTCCAATTGTAAATAATTTGGTTTCATTTTGTTGAGTCTGTAAAGGTGTGAAATCAGCATCTGCTGACATCCTTGCCATATTATTGATCAAATTCTGACGTAATAAATCCGGCATATCTGGTGTATATTGTTTTGTTCGTGATCCAGAAAAAGCTTTGACCTTGTTCCAAACATACCCCAAATCAGATTCCCTATTTAATGACCCACAAAAATCTACAAACTTTTTTTTCTTTTTGTCTCTAAAAGCCCTTTTTGTGGAAGCTATAATTTTTTTGCATGTAAATAGTTGTTCAAATCTGGCTTACATTTAAAATTCCACAGAGCTGTCTTTCTCCTACCAACCAACAAAGAACATTCCTCATCCCACCAAGGGTTATTGATTTTGGTTGTGTTATTAATTGTTTTGAGAGGTATGGCCTCTGCGGCAGAGTAATTCAGTATTTGGCTGAATTAAATGTGGTCTATTTCATGTTCGGAAAGTCCTATTGATTCTATACTTGAAAGGTCATAAAACCGATTCCAGTCGGCCTTAGTAAAGTTTCTCACTTGATAAGGATTAAAACTAAAATTTCCATGTCCGTGTAGGGTATTCAATTCAAAAAGTGTGGGAAAGTGGTCACTATTCGCACAGTCAGATAAAACACTCCATTTTGACATTGGAGCCAATAAAGGGTCTATAATAGAAATGTCAAGAGGGTTTTGGGTATTTATATGAAAACTCGTGGGTGTGCCGTTACTAATTAACATATAGTCAGTCTCACTCAAAAATTCTATCATTGTTCTTCCATTGTGGTTTGTAGAAGAACCGTTCCAGGATTGATGCAAGGCATTTAAATCGCCCATGAGTACGCTAGGACCCTGTAAATTGTCAAAAATTTGATCCAAATGAGCTTTTTCAAGATTAAATTGAGGAGGGCAATAAACATTAATTATGTTGATATTCGCGACTTTGATTATAATATATTGAAAACGCTCTTCTACAATAGTCGCTTGATTTTTTATTACTGTGAATTTTAAATTATTTTTAACGCAGGTAGCAATGCCACCATATCCATCATAACGGTCTTGTCTAACAATTTTATATGAGTTGAGAATTAATGCTTGATTGGATTTCATCCAAGTTTCGTTTAATAAGATCACATTTGGATTAACTTCTTTTAATAAATTTATTAGGTCTCCTTTATTTGGAAAAAAACTTCTAATATTCCATTGAAGAATTTTAAAATTTTTTAAAGGTTTTTGTTTAATACTGTTGAAAATGTTATATTGGGGAAAAGTCCATTTCAATTTGGGGACCTGAACTAAAGTTTGGATTAGTTACGCTCTGAAGATAATCAATTAAATGTTTAACTGTATCTGGGGATATGTTTCTTATTAAATTTTCTAAAATTTTAAAATCATTGTAAGAGGCACTATTAGGCGTTGAGGAATGGGATGGCAAAGAAATATTTTCTACATTTCTCAAATTTGATTGAGTTTGAGAGTGAGAATTAAGGTGTGTTATATTTTGGTTACTTTGTACATTGGGAATGCGGGAATTAGGGAATAGAAGAGCTTCACTATGGGCAACTCTGTCGTATCCTCCTTGTGTTTTTTTCTTATTTTGAGTTGTCGAAACAATCTGACTATATTTAGGGTTGTACCCTTCTTTAAAATTAACACTTCTTCTTTGATAGGGGAATAATAGCATTTAATTCTGTAGTATTACTAGAATGAGAGGAAAGTTCAGGGAAATCCTGAGGATGAGGTGAATATGTATTTGGAGCATATGATTTGGGGCATAGTCTAGAGGCATCAAAAAAGGTTATATTTTCGTAAGCGATCAGTCTCTTAATGTCTCTTTGTCGATTGAATTCAGGGCAAATTTTTGAAGAACTTCTGTGTTCCTCACTTTTACAATGTAAACATTTTGAGTTACATGAATAACTTGTTGTTTGATCATTATTCAAGGTGGAATGAGCATCCTCCTCCCCACAATTAAAACATTTCTTTGTTTTATTTTTACACAACTTTTTTGTATGACCATAAAGTAAACAATTGTAACATTGTGTAACGGGAGCTACATAAGGTAAAACGTTTTTTTTTAATCTATAAAAAGCTATGGTTTTTGGCAAATTAACTCCTTTAAAAGTAATTAAAATGGTAGTCGTTGGTTCATATTTAACCTGAGTTTTATTATCATTGTCATTGGAAAGAATTTTTCGATTAAGCCTGACAATATCTAGAACCTCGAATGGAGAACTAATTGCATCCGTTAATTCATTCAAAGGAATGTCTTTGTGGACCTGTCTGACAATGCCCTTACATGTAACAAAATTATAAGGCACAAAAATTGAATATCCCTTGTCTTTTAAAAATGTATTTTCAATAAATTCGTTTGCTGCTTTATATTCATCAAATTCAATAGATAATCTATTTAAACCTTTATTGTTGATGTTTTTAATATTAGTTAACTTTAAATTAAATATATCTTTTGCTATTTTAAGGTCATTAAATCTACCTATATTGTTCCCTGACTTGTCCGTTGACTCTATAAAAACAACAAAGGGTCCCTTATCTGTTGGACTATATAAATTTGGAATTTTTTCATTTCGTTTAATACCAGAATCAATCAAGGTCAATGGAGAAATTCCATTATTTTCGTCTTTATTTGGTTTAAAACGTTTTTCTGATGACCCCCCTCCGAGGTCATCTTCCTCCTCCATATTTCTTTTTTTTAAAAAATCACCCAAATAAGTTATTTTTTTTTTAAACAAGCCACAAAATCGACTTACCACAAAGGCTATCAACCAACTTGATTTAGGAAGTCTAATACCCTAAACACAGATTAGTAAATTTGCGCGGGGAATAAACACAGCTGCTTCGATCACGTTCTCCACAGCACTGTACAAACCCTTTCTTAAGTAAACGATTGCTCATGTGTTTACCTTACATATAAAAACTATTATAAACACATTCAGTCATCCATAGCTGCGATATAAATTAGCAAAGTATAGACTAATAATGAAAGTTTAATTTATTAATTTTTGTTCCACTGATATGAATATCAGTTTATCCAACAGTTTCAATGTGTATAGTTTCCCAAAACTTCAGACTTTTGGTATAGCAGCCAGAACTGAGTAATTTAAAGAATTGTAGCTTTATTAGACATTCCTCAATCTCTTTATCAACTGGAAAATTATAAAAACAATCAGGATTTAGATTGATTTTTTAATTTGGTTAAATCAATGCATTTGATTGTTACTAGAATTAGGGAGCTCCCATATGAGCTTTAAGTTGCAAAAACTCACTAATTTTCGAGTTTTACGCCTAGATTTGTAGAAATAATTAATTGAAAAAAAAAAAACTCATTTATCTTAAAATACTGATTTTCACATTTTTTTCTAGCGATCTACAACTTCACCGATCCTGAACCCTACAAGTTAAAGCTGACGGTCGGCGACCCGGTACGAATTCTCGAAGAGGAGAAGAACTGGTACTATGGCTACGTCATCAGCAACCGTACCGCGATGGGCATATTCCCGAAAAATTACATACACAGGAAACAGTGTGACAGGTTCGAGTGCGGGGTGCCGGTTTTCAGGGATCCGGCCGTGGCGCAAGAAATCACGTCGGTGCTGAGGGAATGGGGGGCCCATTGGAAGCATTTGTATGTGGTAAGTGAAAGTTTTGAAAAATATTTTTTATAAGGGTCGAAATTTGATCGTGGCGCCATCTTTGGTTTTCTTTGCTTTTCCTAGCCATGCTGATGAGACCTGATAGGTCGAAACGCGTCTATGGATCAGTGCCGGCCCGAGGTTACTTTTAGGATTGAGCGAGATCCGATTTTGGCGCTCCTAATTAAGTAAATGCGAATCGTATCCACTGATCAGAGCTGTTCTAAGTACCAGAAAAAAGTACTTAAGTATCAAGTACAAGTTTCTTTTTTGATACGAATCAAGTACCAGTACAAGTACCTAAGTACAAACGGAAATACTTAAAATATCAAGTAAATTGACTTGAATTGCCCAAATTCAAGTACAAGTATCAAATTCCACGAAAATCAGAGTCAAGTTAGTATTTACTTAAACTTGCGTACTTGAAATGACATTCACGTAGAAATACTTCAAAAAATAATCTAAGTATTTCTTATTTCAAGTATTGTTCCAATTAAAAACAAATTAAATTATTGCTATCGATAATCTTAATGGGGGTGTGACCCAAAAATAGAAGTTTTAGAAAAAATATCTAAGAACAAATTTTCAAACCGCACTAGGTTACGACCAACCATTGCGAAGATACTGTGGTATAAAATTCCTACTCCTAGCACTGTGACGTCACATGCACAAACTGAATCCGACAGACGGCATTGGCGCGCGTTTGCTGATTCTTGCTGCATATGTTAGCTCAGTTCCAAACGACAGGAGAACCGTTCCAGAACCAGTTGCCCACCAATTTTTCAATAAGTTGATCATTTATTCTACTTGACAAATGAAATTGATCAACTGGAAATTATTGTTCTAGATGTTTCTCATGTCGGTTGGAAGAGAGCTATTATCGACATTATCGTATCGTTTTTGGGTTCTCAAACCTATTGCTGCATCAGTTTAAATAGGTTTTGCAATTTTTGCGTGTGTTTATGACGTCACGCGATGAATAGACAAAATTATATTTAGCCGTATCTATTTTATTATTTTGAGTAGCGATGCGAGATTTTCACAAGAGTTCTTAGAATTTTCTTCTTTATTTTCTGAATACAAGTTGTATTTTAAGGTTACACCCCCCTTAATGGGAGATGATATATTCAGTATAGGCGCCACAGGCACGGGGATTGCTATTGGGAAACGCCAGCTGGGCTCTTCCTACCTACTGCTGGGTTTCGGCTGCTGTCTTATCACATACTTACTATCCTTTTGCTCGCAAGCAGGATAGCAGAATATTGAAAAGCGGAGAGGATTCAGGGCAGTGTGTCTATCTGATTGTAAAAATCATAACTCTGTTATCCTGGACTATTTCTCCATAAAATTTGAATATCTTGAAGCTAAAAGCTTCCTTAATAAATAAAAAAAAATTGGATGATCTAGGTTTCCAGAATTTTTAGAAAAAAAAATCAGGAATGAGGCCATCAGGCAATGGCAAACATATCACTAAGTGTGTCTATCTAATTGTAAAAATCATAGCTCCGTTATCCTGGACTATTTTTCAATGAAATTTTAATATGTTAAAGCTAAACGCTTCCTCAATAAGCAAAAAAATATTTGGTTTCTCCAGGTTTCCCAGATTTCCAGGAAAAAAATCAGAAATCAGGCCATAGGCTGTAATGCAAAAATATTGAATTAAAAAAATCGTAACTCAGCTATCTTTGGTTTTTTCCGAACCAAATTTTGGTATGTTTAAGCTAAAAGGCTCCTGGATAAATGAAAAAACTCTAAATGTCCCAAAGTTTCCCAGATTTCCAGGGAAAAAATCAAAAATTAGGCCATAGGCTGGGCTTAAGGGATTAAACAGATTTCAGAAACATATTTTTCTCTTTTTTTTTTTCCACCAAGGAACAAGTCGGAGGCGCCCCTCTAGGTCTGGCGCCTGGAGCGCTCGCTCCATTCGCCTTATGGTAGGGCCGGCCCTGCTATGGATGGAAAAGCAGAGAAAATCAAGCCAAATATTTTCTCATCAGTGGATAATAGGTTTTCCTATTCTGGGTTTTCCCACGAACTGAATTTTGGTCGGCCGATTAGATACTCACTACTCAGTCACCATATTGCAGCAAAAATTGCTGTTTGGTGTTGAATCTTTATCTTAGATGGCGCCACGATCAAATTTCGACCGTTGTACTATTAGTCTGGGAGACGACCGCATTTTTCCTACCCCGATCGAGTTATGTGTCGACACTATTATCAATACATAGTATTATGTGCATCTATTAACCGGTATTTCTGCCTGAGAGCAAATGCTGCCGGAAATATCTTTTAACAAATTATTAACAAATTGAAAAAAACGTAACACTACCCCCATCGAGTTATGCCCTAAGTAGGGTATCAGATTGAAGGTCTCGATGTCCCCTATTTAAAAAGTCGATCCTGCCTCGTGAGAACTTGCCGGAAAAGGGTGGCAGGACAGCTTATTGGGGCAAGGGCCCGCGGTCTTTGCTTTGACACCTATGCACGATGCAGCAGTTACGTGAGCTGAGAAGGGAAGTGGAGGGATTGAAGGGTGATGTGCAATTAATTCTACTCTGAGAAATATGATGAACAGATTTTAATAAATCGAGCCTTAAACGAAGAAATAATAGCTCTAAAGAAAGGGAACGATCAAATAAATACGGATTTAGTAAAGCTTAAAATCTCAATCAAAAATGGAAGACCAGGAGAAAAGGCAAAACAATATAATACTTATGGGACTCAGAAATAACAGTGCTTAGTTAAAAAACAAACCTGAAGAAGTAAAAGAAAAATCGCGCTATATTGATCCCACTTTAAATTTTTAAAATGTGGAGATTAAGCCAGTGAATGTCGAGAAGGAAAATACCCCAATTCTGGTTACATTTAAAAATCCGCTAGAAAAAAATGCGTTTTTAACAAAAAAAAAAAACAAAAAGGCTTCATAACCAGCACAAATTGTAATCTACCAGGGTCGCATTCTATATACGTCAATGAAGATATGTCCAAAGAACAAAGAGAACTCCTCAAAAGAGCCCGCAGTCTGAGAGACTAAGGATTCAAGTTTGTATGGTCCAAGGGAGGCAACATTTACGTAAGAAAAACGGAAACTTGTAATATTATAAAAAAACTTTGTAGTGAGGATATTGATAAACTTGTACAGCAGGATTAGTTTTTTCACCAGCTTCTCTGTAAGTAATGTAAAAATGTCCAATTTAATTTTGATCTCTTTCCTTCAAATAAGTTTTTCAGTAAACTTGATAGTGATAAATTTACACAACTGCTGTCTTCTGAGGATTGGGAGCATACTCTGCGGCACACTGATCCTGACAAAATTGCAGAAAGTATCGTAAACAAGATAAAATTTTATATTAAAGGAAGCACCAACAAAATAAAAGTTAAATGTAAGAAACAATTTGTCAGGCCCTGGATGTCGCAGGGGCTCCTAAATTCAGTAAGGGAAAGAGACAGGCTTAAAAAAATATCCACATGTAATCCTGGAAGCGAACTGGCCTTAAATAAATATAGGGAATATCGAAACAAACTTACCAAGCTCATAGGCAAAACCAAAACACATTACTATAAAACCCTTTTCGATAAGCATACTAATGACCCTAAAAAAATGTGAAATGTTATTCACAGCCTAACAAATGGTAAAGACAGTGTAACACAAATTAAAGCGATCAAAGATGGGAGAGATGTGGTGGTAAGTGATCCAAAATCAATGGCCAATATACTCAATAAATACTTTAGCTCAGTAGGGAAGAACCTTGCGAAAAAGATAAATAAATCAGAAGAAAACAGGGAGATTGAAGATATCTGCGAGAATTCTATGTATCTTGCACCCATAACAGAGAGGGAAATCTTAAAAGAAATAACCGGCCTTAAAAACAATACTGCATGTGGGGAAGATGAGGTATCTGCAGAAATGATCAAAAATCACAAAGAAAAACTAACTAAGCCACTAATGCACCTAATAAATACCATTTTCCAAACAGGAACATTTCCCTCAATTTTTAGAAGTGCTGTTGTAGTACCTGTTTTTAAGGCTGGAGACAGGTTAAATGTTAGCAATTACCGACCTATAGCTTTAACTAGTATCTGGGCTAGGCTTGTTGAAAGGTGCATTAAGGAGAGATTGTGGAACTACCTTGAAAAATTTAATATTATATCCAAAAATCAATTTGGTTTTAGGAAGGGATATGGAACCAATGTTGCAATTGACAAGGTTAGCAATCATGTCGTTTCTTCTTTAAATGAGGGCTCCAAGCCTTTGGCAATCTTCCTAGACTCGCAAAGGCCTTCGATACTGTGGACCATCGAATTATGATGTCCAAGCTGGAGCGTATCGGTGTTAGAGGTATTGTTCTCAAACTTTTCCAATCATACTTGAGCGACAGAGTACAAAAAGTAAAAATAGGAGACAACTTTAGTAAGGAGGAGGTAGTGGAGTTTGGTGTTCCGCAAGGTACAGTTTTGGGCCCATTACTCTTCCTAATATATGTGAACTCTCTCACAAAAACTCTAGATTATAGAGCTAAAATCTTGTGTTATGCTGATGCTACGGCAGTACTTATGAAGGCTGATACCTGGCAAGAATCTCTGGAAATAGCCGAAAAGAGCATGACTATAATAAAACACTGGATGGACAGCAATCTCTTAACGTTGAATGTTCAAAAATCTTTTTATATACCATTCTCTATAAACAACGTAAATATTCCTACTTGTAGCATTGATTTCCACAACCGTACATGTACAGATATCTCAAACTGCAAATGCAGCAACAGTATAGCACAAAAAGACAATATCAAATATTTGGGTGTCTATTTTGACCAGCATATGAGGTGGCATGTACATGTGGATCGCATTGTTAAGGCACTTCTGAGAATGGTCTACAAATTTTATGAATTAAGACAAATTGTCTCACAAAAAACAATAAGACAAATTCGAGGGGTGCGACACTCTTTGATATTTTGTACAATATTAGTTTTTAAAGGATTATCAAGTATTAGGCAGTATTAGTGAATAATATTGGATATTAGTAAATATTACATGATTTTAATTCAAATTCAAATTCTTTATTCATGTTATTATACAGAGCAGAGTACTTACACACGTCAAAAATGTAATAAAAAAAATAGAGTAAAGCACTATTCATTATATAAAAATTCTAAAAAAAATTGTAAAACTTAATCCTAATTTACCACAATTTAAAAAACAAGAATTTAAAAAACAAGTCAGGTACTATAGAATACATCACACTTTCAAAGGATAACATTACAATTAAAAAATTCACTAACACTATTAAATCCCTTACTCAGAAGAAAATGTTTGAAAGCCCTTCTAAAAGTATTGGGGGGCATCTCCCAAACGTGAGGGGGCAGCTTATTAAAAAGCCTGATCCCAAGGAAGCCAGGGCCATCTTGACCTCTTTTAAGTCGTCTGTGCGGGGGCACTAGTTGCCCACGGTTGCGGGTTTCATAGGAATGCACATTCTCATGCCTGTCAAGATTATGCAGGTTATTCCTCACATGCAGTACACATTCAAGAATGAATTGAGCAGGGACGGTCAAGATCCCTAGGGACACAAACGCGTGTCGACAGTCATCACGGTATGATAAGTTTGCGATAACCCTAACTGCACGTCTCTGGACACGGAAGACATCTGTTGCGCCAGTACAATGGCCCCAAATTAAAATTGCATAAGATATATGGGAGTGCAAAAGGGCAAAGTATGCCTGTCTCAGGACTGACTGGGATACACTGTCTGACAGCCTACGAAGTAGAAAGGTGTTTGAGCTTAATTTGGAAACCAAGGAAGATGTGTGATGATTCCATCTTAGTCTAGAATCTAAAGTTATGCCTAAGAATTTAACAGTGACATCATCTTCCGGAAGCCATCTCATGGAAAAGACCATGTTTTGAGTTTTGGCCATGTTCAAGAACAAATTGTTGGCCTTGAACCAGAGCTCTGCCCTTTCCTGCGCCTCACGCGCCGCCGTCCTAGCTCCCTCGTAATCATGGCTGGTGCAAGCTATGGTAGTGTCATCCGCGAAGAGGGTGTACCGGGCGATGTGATCTGCTCGAGGTAGATCATTTATATAAATAAGAAACAAAAGGGGTCCCAAGATTGACCCCTGTGGTACACCAACCAGCACCTCCCTCTCCGAGGATTCCACACCACCAACCCTCACCACCTGAGGACGGTTTGACAAGTAACTAGATAGAACTGCAATACTACTATCGGAAAAATTATATTTTTTTAGTTTGGCAAGTAAAATTTTCCGTGAAACGCAGTCAAAGGCTTTGCTAATGTCGCAGAACGTCCCGGACATGTACGTACCATTTTCAAAGGACTCTTGTATCTGAGAGACCAGATTAAGAACAGCTGATGTTGTATTTAAGCCACTCCTGAATCCGAATTGGCTGTCGGTAAACAGGTTCTCAGTCTGAAAAAAGTTAATGATACGTACGGCAAGAAACTTCTCAAAGATCTTTGAAAGTATTGGCAGTAGTGATATCGAGGGATCAACAGCATCCTCCTTTTTATAAACCGGAACCACAACCGCACTCTTTAGAACCGATGGAAAGCTATTCTCTCGTAGACACTGATTCATAAGTTTAGTCAAGGGGATTATTATCAGCTCTTTGATACCTTTAATGATTTCAACTGTGAAACCAAAACAGTCTCTGCTCTTTTTGCTTTTTGTGTTGTTTATTATGTCTCTAACCTCGTTATAGGTAGCATCCTGAAAATAAAAAGTGTTTTCAGGTACTACCTGAATGAAAGAGAGTGGGTCAACATCCGAAACACCAATTTGTGCCTGTAGTTCAAGTGCTACATTTATAAAGAAATCATTAAGTTGATTAGGTGGAATATTTGGTGTTTCAGATTTTTGACTTGATACCTTCCGTTGTTCATTAATAATGTTCCACATACACTTAGTGGGATTTGTGGCACTTCTAATTAGTTTATTATTAGCTTCTATTTTGGCTTTTTTTATACAAAACCGATAAGATTTTTTGTAATTTATGAATTGTTGTTTGGTCTCTGGTGAAGGGTATTGAATTGAAAGTTCTCTTAAAAAGTTTAAAATTTCTCTCATTGATTTTAAGTCATCATTGAACCAATTGATGACTCGATTTTGATTTCTACGGTTGACATACGTTTTTTGAGGAAATGCATGCATTAGAGCTTTAACTAAAACATCCAAAAACAGAGAAAATTTGGCATCAGCAGTTATTTGAGCTTGAATGATAGAGTCCCAAGTTACTTCGCTGATACAATGAAAAAATAGTGCCTTTCCTCTTTGTGTTATTGGCCTGCATACTACCCTTGTCAAATCAGTGTGATGAATCTTCAAGGGGACAGAGAACTCTACAATTTGACAAAGATGGTCAGAAAAAGCAGTGTCAAGCAGTGTCACCTGGCAGTCCCGCCTTTCATAACTAATGAAAACATTATCAAGACAACTACCACCACGAGTAGGTTCCATAACCAATTTAGCCAGGCCAAATGATTGGAACAAAGCGCAGAGTTCAGTGGACTCTGTAGAGTTGATATTGAAGTGCACGTTGAAATCTCCAGCCACAACCATTTGACCATAACCCGCAACCATGTTCAACGACCTCTCCATGGCATCAAGAAACAGATTTGTTGGTCCTGATGGTGCCCTATAAACTGCAACAATGTATATATTAAGTTCTATTATATGTATGCAACAAATTTCTATGATTCTCTCCTCAGTAAGGGACCCCATTTCATCTAAAACCTTAAAATTAGTAGTAAAATTTGATTTGACCAATATTGTTGTGCCTCCGCCCCTATGGAAGGTGCGATAGGAAGCCGCTGCGAGGTTATAGCCTGGTATACCAAAAAGAGTAGCTTCATTTTCAGTCAACCAGTGTTCACTTAGGCAGATAATGTCTACGTTCTTGTCAACCAAGAAAGCATCAATTTCATTGGTCTTGTTCCTGATGGACTGGATATTCTGGTGGAATAGTCGTATTTTTTGCCTATGACCAGTTAAGCTGTTTGGGAGGGGGTTTTGCCCTGCGTTTTCCTCATTTGAGGCCCTATTTTCCTCAGGTTTAAAAAATCGTTGACAGTTAGACCCACTGGCCAGAAACCACGATCCAGCAGCTCATCCCTATGTTCCGTTAATACTTGCACTTTGAAAGAGCTGTATTTGTGCTCAGTCTTGGTTTTTAATTGTTCACATATCATAGCTGAAACGCCATTTTCCTCTAGGTACGATTTTATTTCGTCGGGGTTGGTTTCTGTGTCGAATCCTGATACAAACAGCCAAATGAAATTTGCTTTCTTTGCTACTCTCAGCCCTGTGTAGTTTTCTTTATTGCCCTTTATTGCATTGGGTCTGATTTTCGGGTCCGCTTTAAGTTTTTTTTTGCGAAAAACGGTTTTCCATTCGCTCTGACCTTCATGGGGGCTTTTTTTTGCAATGTCCATTCGTTCACTGGGCAAATTTACAGAATTTTCCGGGAGAACTTCTTGGTTTTCAGTGTTTTTATTTTTATTTTCTGGTAATGTCAACGACAACGTCTTGCCTGTGTTGTTGACATCCGAGACAGCGTCAATACTGTCAACAGCATCAACCTCAACCTCAAAGACCTCATCATCCTTGAGCGAGTCATTTGAACCGAGTTCAATGTTCGAACCAGCAGAGTTGTTCGGTAGTTCATTCGGTAGCACTGGGTTCACTTGGCCTCTTGCAGTGTTGCCACTTTTCGAGTTGGAACTGACGCTAGTTTTCCCTGTCTTTGTTTGTTTACCTTTTTTTCCAGGTTTAGAATTTTCCACTATTTCTTCGAGGGACTCGATTTTCTTCTTCAGCTCGCCTTCGCTTTCTTCAAGACGCTCGATTCTCCGTAGCATTTTATTTATTATCGTTTCTAAATGAGCAATATCTTGCGATTCCGGTTTTGAGGTTACCTGGTGGACAATTTCCTCAGAGTGGACACAAATCGCATTTCTCTGCGCTCCAGCCTGCCTCAAACATGCTGGATGGAAAAATGCATCGCACTTTTTACACTGGACTTTAGAAACAACTTCTTTTTTACAGTGAGCACAAGTTTCTCGTATTTTTTTCGGGACGGAACCAACACTTGACCTATCAGCTCCCGCCATCTTGGTTTTTAGCATGGATTATCGGATTATCTTGTATTAGAACAGATTATCCGCGGGATTATCCAATATTATGAATTAGTCAGTATTATAAGATTTTAGTAACTATTATTGATATTAGCAAGTATTATTAGATATTATTGGGCATAGATAATAATTTTTTTGTATTAGCATGTATTATTGTAATAAAAAACAGAGGTAGGTATAGGGAGTACACAAAAAGATTACCTAATTAAGATTAATGAAATTCTCATGTAGTTTTTGGTCGATTAGGGTTTTGAATTATTAATTTGCATAGATTGAGTATTATCTATCTAACACATTCACAAGTAGAGTATATTTATTCTGACCTGAAACACTGCATTATACGAGGATATTTCAACATCGCGTCGCTCTCTCCTATTAATTTCATAAAAAAATCTATTGTAAAGTTTCCCTGTACAAAATATAAGCAGTGCGGAAATATCGCTACAGTAGCACAAAATAATAATTTAGGTTGGCACGCGCCTATAGGTTGAATTATTGGGGTGGGCTACTTACGTTTTTCCGGGAAGAATGCTGTTTCATTCCAGGTATTATTTAGTTGTGTGATTCGATATTGATTATCACCATTTAAAGAAATAAAAATTATATGACGCCTATGTTCTCTATTTGTTTGATGTATGCTGACTAGATGTTTTTTTAGTGTTTCAGTTTGGATTAAAAACACTATACCAGCCCTAAAAAACTTAACATTCTGCTCAAACTCCCTGTATTTTTTCTTTATTGTTTGCGTTTCCCATCTCTGTATAAGAAAGGTATCAAACCCGTCTAAAGATATTGGACCGTGAAAAATAAATTTAGACTGTACACTTTGGTATTCTACCTTTTCTGGTCAATAAAACTTATCCAGGGATTGTTTTAAGAATTTCAACCGAATATTTTTATTATTCAGAATTGACTCGGCTTTGCCAATATAGGAGGTGTCATCAATAAATAGCATAATATTTTTCCAATTCCACTGGATTTTTCTTCTGAATTAGATTCAAAACTTGCAGTATTAGCTGCGTCATCAATTCCATCTAAGTCTTCATTAGAATCTGAAAACCCATCAACACTAGAAACACTTGATGATTTTTCAGATTCACAAATTTTTTCAATTTCTTGGTTTTTTAGCAATAAATAAATCAATAATAATTTCGACGAACTCTGCAGATAGGTACCATCGTCACCAAAAGTATCTGGGACAAAAATAATTCATATTAATCAATCAATCAATCAATCAAAATATACTTTATTGTCGGAAAATAAATTTCATTGACAAAGCATGATCTTAAATAATGTGCAAGTATTTAAAAATTATCGGGTTATAAAAAAAAAAAAGAGGTACAACCAATAAAATAAAAAATAAACATAAACATAAATGTCAAAGCATAATCCTAAGCAACACATGTACAATTTGTACTACATCAAACTATAGAGTCATAGAAGGTACAGCCAATACAGAAAAAACATAAAGGTTGCGGTCAGAACAAAACAAAACAATGAAACAAACAAAATTAAAATTTTTCAGTTAAAAATTCATTAATATGATAGTAGGCTTTTCCATGTAAAAATGTTTTGAGCTCTAGTCTAAACTTTTTAAAACCACCTATCTGCCTTAAGTTAACAGGCAGATGATTAAAAATTTGCCTACTTTTATAAATTAGTGAATTTTGCGTCAATGCAGTCTTGGGTATAGGAAGCTGAATTTTAAGAAGTTGCCTAGTTGGATAAGTTCTTGGATATTCTAACTCATCATAATGTTTTTTGTGCATAAAGCAAGCAGTTTCCATGATAAATATACAGCATACTGTATATTCCTGTCATTCCTTTCAATTAGGCAATTCAAACCACGTGACACTCAAGATGGCGTGGCGGCCACACATGGGCCAAAAATCACTAAAAAAGATCTAGTTTCTGCCCGATTTAATAGTTTAGGTACCTTGTCAACAAATATCGTATTAAATAATCAAAATCAAAGTTACAAGCAAAACTCTAAGCAAAATAATTTAAAATACACATAAAAACATATTCAAAACAAGCTTGCTTGGCCGCCACGCCATATTGAATTTTCCTTTTTGACAGATGGATTAAATTGCCTAATGCATTTAATTGACCTTTTGTTTGGACGCCATATTGCGGTGCGCGAATATAGTTGCCAAAAGAAGAAAACAAAAATTACTATCGGGTTGTCAACATTAAAAACAAAAGTAACTAATGGCGATTTCCATTTGTCAATCAGTGCGCACTGAGTGTATCCGCATCTTTTTCTAAAAGCATGTAACATGTAAGGATAAGGATTAATTTTTTGGCGATTTCCATTTGTCAATCTGTGCGCACTGAGTTTATCCGCATCTTTTTCTAAAAGCATATAACATGTAAGGATAAGGATACATTTTTTTTGCACTGGTTCGACAAATGGAAAACGCTATAAATGATTGATCTTCACTATCCTTATTATTTCTATTCTGTCCAATACAAGATAAAATTGATGGCTTTTCTTTTCAAAAACCAATGAACTATAGCAAAAACTGGAATGCACATACATTGCCATATTTGCCAAAAAAATGTAGCCATGAAAGACAGATGCAACAAAGGAGAATGTTGTTTTTTTCTGTTGCTCGCTGACATATGACGTTTTGGAAAATTTTGTCATATTTACCTTCACAGGGTTCATCAATTGGAATACGTGTTGGAAGCAATTTCCGCCATTTAACATAATGAGTGCGACAAAAACAGGCATCCAAACATTCGTAATAGGCGGCAAATTTAAATTTCAAATGTAATTTATTGTAACTTTTGTTTTTAATGTTGACAGTACGCTAGCAATTTTTTTTTCTACTTTTGGCAACTATGTTCGCGCACCGCAATATGGCGTCTAAACAAAAGGTCAATTCATTAATTTGACAAATATTTGACACCTAAAATCATATAATAGTACAAGAGCTAACATGATGAGGTCCCAGTTACTTTTGGTGACGATGGTACATATTGCTTGTTATTTTCAAAATTAGGTTCCGGAACAGTACCTACATAAGTAACTATTAGGGTACAAAATTATGTTTTTCTTCTAAAGAGAGCAATCCGTTTTTATTTAACTTGAACCAACGACAGAGAACATCAATCTTTAACACAATACACACGTGTTCAATAACTTTGCTAAGAGTTGTGACTATTGGTGTCCTTGTTTCTTTTGAGGAATAAAGAAAGATACCCATAGACTGGGATTGCAAAAAAAATCCAAATATAGTCGATAGATATCTCTTGCCGCAGCAATATTATAAAATTATTAGATATTAGTCCAATATTATTCGATATTATAAAATTAATATGAATTAGTGAACTATTTTGGGATTTGTAGATTAGTTCATATTATTAGTATTATATAAAATTAGCAGGTATTTTGTAAAAGTCATGAAATATTACCAGTATTAGTCTTGGTATCAGTGGATATTAGTGGATTATCATAGGATTATTGATATTGGTATAGATTATCCGCGATTATCCAAAGGTTGTACAATATATTAGTGAAGTGTCGCACCCCTCGGACAAATTTATCAAGTTCTTGTGCAGCCCATCTTAAATTATGGCATCGCCTCCTGGGGTGCTGCATGTAACAATGTTTTTTGGCCTCTTTGTTTGTGTCTCAAAAGTATATAGGTACTTAAAGTAATGCTATTTAAAAAAAGGTTATACAGTTCTGAAATGCTCTTCAAGGATGCAGGTTTGCTGAACATAAGACAGTTGTATATTGAAGATATTATCAAGAAATACTATAAAAATAAAATTATTTTACCTTATGTAAATCACGAAAAAGAAACTCGATCAATTGCAAATAATTCCATGGCTCTTCCACAAATAAATTTCGCAGCTACTCACATATACTCTTCCTAAAATAATCAATTTACTACCCATTAACTATAGAACTCTATCATATAATAAAATTAAGGAGGAACTAAAGGTTTGGATAGTTCGGAATTACGCAGTCATCGTCTCAAATATTCGTTGGTTTCGGGCATAGGCTTCGATACTGTTGTGTATTAAGTACCTAATAAGGATTATTTTTGCTGAGTTAAAAACAATCAGAATTATTTTGTCATCATCTTAATCTGATGTTTCTCTCCAAATTATCATCAATTTTATAAATCTTGCCATAGAATGAACTGAATATTTTGATTTTTTCAGACTCACAACAAAAGTTTCGAACTAATGAAAAACCAAATTTACGACCTGATTGGTTTGCGCAGCAAAATAATCAGCGGTACGCTGCCCATAGACGAAATCAAGCGGGTGACCAAACAAGCGGCCGAAGAAATTGACATTGGCAACAAAACTTTCGGCTTGGATTTAGTGGTTCGAGACAAAAATGGAAGCCTGATCAATCCAGATGTGACCAGCACTATACAGCTTTTCAATTATCATAAGGCAGCGACTGAAAGAATGAATAATAGGTGTAAGGTGAGTCACTAAACAGCAAATTATGGATTTATGACTTGATTTGTGCCGTTTTTTTTTGGATTGCCATAAGAGCAAATAAAAGTTATTAAAAACATATTTGTATTACTACGTCTAATATTTATATAATTCGATAGGGGGATGAGAAAGATTACCAACCGAAAACCGCTATCCAACAATACTCAAACATATTCTTAGTGGCAGTGAAAAATTTTACATGTAAAATGTACGAAGATGCTGAATTGTTGATGTCACTGTATGACGCTAAGGAATTTAAACCAATCACAGAAAGTTATGTTGTTAAGTGGACCAAAGAAGGACTGATGAGCGATTTGGATCAGATGTATAATTTGAGAGTGATGTTTACTGTGAGTGATATATAGATATTCTGCTTTTTATTGTAAATTTGATGCATCACACATTGCTCTTATTTCATATATTGCCTAATTAAATTATTATTTTTTCTATTTTAAAACCTATTTGTTTTGAACTTCTCACAATGATCTGGTTGTTGTATAATGTATTGT